AATAAAACAACAGCCATACCTCCACTGAATCTGCTCTCTATTTTGTCATCTTCGTAGCCTGGAATGGAAGTACAATCAGAGGAATGGCCATGACAGAAGCAGGCTAGACATCCAAACTCATCGTCACTTTGCAAGTTGAAGAAACCTGGCTTGCATCTGCATACATAATTCAATACAAGTATAGACTTCAATAAAATTATTCAAATGTCAGAGAAATGGTTGTGCCTTTACCCAGTCAGCAGCATGCTGACTGGGTTCTGTTTCCTAGCAGTTTCTTTCTTTACCCAGTCAGCACCATGCTGACTGGGTTCTGTTTCCTAGCAGTTTCTTTCTTTCTGGCAACATTTTAAAAGGCTACTAGTGGCAAACTACCGGACCGATTTTATTAAAACTTGGTCAGTAGGACCTCCCATTTATGTGTTGTTCACAACTTAGTGTCAAAGGTCACATAAGGGGCATTAGGATCAAAAAACCAAAAATCGTATAAAAGACTACTTGTCTCACAAATAACGTAGCACAGTCTTTGCACATATACATTGGCATAAGGCAGGGTCTATAGGGTGTTGAGGGATAAGGGGTCAAAGGTCATTAAGGGGTAATTTTTATCTTTTTCTGACAACATTTCAAAATGCTACTAGTGCCAAACTGTTGTGCCGATTTCAATCAAACCTGGTCAGTATAATCGGTGACACCTTTCATACATGGGGTGTTCACTGCTTGGGGTCAAAGGTCACATAGGGGTCATTAGGGTAAAAAACTTTCAAAAAAATGAATAAAAGACTTCTTCTGTCACAAATATCATAGCAGAGTCTTTTCCTGGGCACATGTATTGGCATAATGTAGGGTCTTATGGTGTTCAGCGATTTACAAAGATCATTAAAGGGTTATTCTTTTGTTCTCTCTAGCAACATTTCAAAATGCTACTAATGGCAAACCATTGGACCAAATTCAATCAAATTTCGTCATTAGGAACCGGCGACACCTCCTACACCCCAGTCTGGGATCAGGGGTCACATAGGGGTCATCGGGTTAAATTTTTAAAATAGCCCAATTGAGCTCAAATTTACCAGGAATGATCCTTAGGACCTTCTAAACATGAAAAAATACTCTTCACCCCATATGTCAAAGTTCATAGGTCAAAGGTTCAAAATGTTACTAATGGCAACCGATTGAACCGTATTCAATCAAATTTGATCATTAAGAACCAGTGACACCTCCTACACCCCTGTCTGGCATCAATGGTTACATAAGGGTCATCGGGGTTAAATTTTCAAAATAGCCCAATTAAGCTCGAATTTACCAGGAATGATCCTTGGGACCTTCTAAACATGAAAAACTACTCTTCACCTATAGGTAAAAAATCACAAGGGTCACTATAGTGAAAATTATCAAATATTGCTAGTGACTAAGGATTGGACCAATTGCATTAGACAGACTCCTAGCAAACATAGGATGTTCACAGGTGTTGAGGTTAAAAGTTACAGTGGTTATCTCTTAAAAAATGACTGGGTTCATGTTCTATTGAACATAGTATCTCTAGTTTTTTGGGGGTTTTTTTAAGTTGAGAGATTATAATTAAAATGTCTGTCATGTTTTCTATTAAATTTTCAATTAAATATTTGAATTAATTTTACAGTTTAAAATTCACAGTTAAAAACCATTTTTATGTTAAATTTTATTCCAATCACTCAATTTTCCTACAATCACTTAATTACTTAATGTTGTTTCATGAATGATTGATAGTACAAATATATACATACCGGTAAGAGAAACACATTAGACAGTAGTTAACCTCATATGAATTGATCAATTTTTGTCTGCACACAGATGGTTCAGTGTCAAGGAATATTTTCTTCTTTAGGCCAAATAAACTTAATTGCTGGTTTCACATCCCAGCATTTATAAACATTTTTGAGCCTCATGAAAAAATTATTATTTACCATTTAAAAAAAAAAAATTTATATGGAAAATAAAAATAATGATGATCTGAATGATTGTAGTCAAAGCCTAATAAGCGATGGAAACAAAGGCAGAATACCATTACAACGAATTATTTTACTCCTTTTAAAAAACAATTTTTATTATTTACCAGCCTGTTTACCACTAGTACATAGGATAGTAAATAGCAAATAGTAATTAACCTCACCAAATCCCAGATGTGAAAACTAACAATTACAGTAATTTTATCTGTCCATAATAGAAAATCTAACACCATCAGTGTTTACCTGTCGCAATTACGAGCTTCAACATTCAGCTTACATGTACAGTCACCGGTGGCAATGTTACAACTCGCTTGATTATTTAGGCTACCAGCAGGAAGACAATTACAACTCCTACCATACAAGAAATCAAAACATTTTAGAACCATTGCTTTAAATATAACTTCTACGTTCATTTATATACAACTATTATAAAGCTGTGATTAGGCATATGTCTTTAGTTTGGTAAGTTGTTCATTATAACCTGTTAGTTTCTTGTGTTTACTGCTATATCTGGTGATTGGATGGCGTGATGGCTTAAAAAATTGCCAGCAGGAGGCCATACCGCAGTCCAACAGGGGTGGTCAGGCCAAAGGAGCCGTCCGGACCTTTGGTTGAAAGTCCAAGCGTAAACCTCTGGTGGGGTGAAGGGTTTAGGAAGGTAAAAATTGTGCTTTTAGACCTCAATAATTTGGAATGCAATTTAAAAAATCCGTAACGGAACATTTTTAGCCCAACAAACGAAAGTGTTGTTCGACGGCAGGAGGGCTTGCACGATAGATGGACAAATTATTAATGTCATTGAATATTAAATTATTAATTATAATTATTCAAAATTATTGAGAGTGAAAGGATGATGAATAATTATGAATTTGATGACTACAACATTGGCAATGAAAATTCAGTTATCAATGGTTGGATTCGGACGTAAACTCAATTACATGGGTAATCTACTAATAACCTCGGGGCTAAATGTGACGGTCGTTCGGACGAGTAAAATAACAATCCATTTACCCATTAATTTGACGGAAGTTACGTATTTTACAAGCTTCTGCAAGGTCAGAATTCTGAATAGTTCGTGACCTGAGTGACGACCCCGTGTCAAATTAGCAATGTTTTCGCGTCAATTTCAATACTTCATACACGAATTTACGCTATTTCTGCTTACTTTTTATACAATTTACTCATTTCCTTGCGATTATCCTTACAAATTGACGCCGAATTATGATTAACCCAGCCGACCTAACTATCGTGACAACTTTTAAATTGCTTCTCGACGACGGATTTGATCTAAACCAAGCTTTTCGACGAAGAAAGTAGCCTACAGCAACGAAGAAGACAACGACCAGCGTGGAAAGAAAGCTTGGGCAACAACGCGAAGAATCATGCTGCGTGGTCGCGAGCTTCTTTTTGTCCAGTGCAATCTGACCCGGCGTTGTTAACAAATCTGAAGGGTCAACTTGTGACCTGGGCCTTGTTACGGGTGATTAATTACGCCTTGAGGCAAGGTGTAATTGAAATATCCAGTAAAAAATGTGGGTTTTTGGGCCAGATGTTTTTCGAATTTTCTATACCCAGGGGCATTATTTAATTGCCGCACGCGACCGTTCAGCTGGTGGTACCCAGTTAAATTTTACTCGTCCGAATCGGCCCAATGATGCTTACCTGCAGCCTGTGATTCCAAAGTCATAGAAGTTGGGCAAGCACTGGTCACACATTTGACCACCCACACCTGGCTTGCACACACACTGTCCATTAACACCACACTGCAAATTAAGTGACCCTGTACACGAACAATGTAAATAAATAATTATGCACACACAAAAGACTAGTAAATTATACTGTACACACATTAGGCACGTGATAAACTTTCATGTCTATTCATCATGATAACTTTAGCATGTTCATAAAGAAACCATCATCATGATTTTATTTATGCTAATGCGTGCAGTTTTGCATGAAATCTACCAGAAGCACACCAATGTGGTTGGGACCTACCATAAGCACAACCAATGAGGTTGGGATTTGTATAATAAACTGAAAGCCGATTGGTAGAATTCGATCTCATGAATTAATTTATCACATTAACCAAGGTTAATCATGATGAATCAACATGCTCCACTAGATCAGATAAGGTGATCAAGATGAGCATGTTATTTGATTCTGGTTGGTTCACATAAAGCATGGCGGTATAATGCATTAAGTGACTGGCTTGTTCATGGTCCACTAGATCATGTTAAATTCTAAATGTGAACCTAGCTATTTCATTTGGACAAGCTATTTGGCATTGTTTCTACCAAAGTCTTACAAACATTTTTAAGGAGGGAGACGTACACTAGATTAAAAACAGAAGGCCAGACTTTTTTTATACCCTGTTTTGCGAACTTATTATTTTAAAGATTTTCAGAGGAATGTGGAAAGGAAATTAAAATAAAATTTTGTTTTCTTATTTAGCAAATGGTTTTGCCAAAAACATCCGAACAGTGGACAAAATTAAAATCAAATTTTATTGTTGAATGTAAACAGTGTAGTAATGGGATGGTTAAATGCTTTAAATTGTGGCAGGGGTGAAAAATAAAAATAAAGACAAATTTCCATTTTTTTTTCATGGGGGTGGGTGTGCTAACTTGCAAGAAATAAGATTTTATTTTTATTTGGAATCATCATTATCAGCGGGCAGTGGGTTCGCCAAACAAGGTATAAAAAAGTCTCAGTGTATTAGTTTAATCATGCTTTTTTATTACTTTACATGGTTTTACATGTATGGAAAATACATATATGATGATTCTTAGTGAGAATTTCGTAGGAGATATCCCAATCAACAATTTGTCACATTTTCTTCTAAGTGTAATTTGGTATAAGAAAGCCACATTCAGTTAATTACTTACCAACAATATCACAACTGCATGCTAAGCAAGGCTCTGAGAGTGACTTCCTATAAAAGTTTTCCTTGCACCTCTCACAGTTTGCACCTGCAGTATTTCGGGTACAATCTACACAGAACCCACCGTTGCCAGTCCTGTCATACAGATCTTGATTAAACACACACCTTGTTGAGAAGCCATTACAGTTACATACTGAAAAACACAAAAGACAAATATGTAAGCTAAAAAAAAAAAAAAAAAGTAAATATCAAAAATTTAGCAAATATGCAGTGTTTTAAAATGGATTCAGAAAAGGATTCAGAACAAGAATTGGAAACAATATGCAACCATATACTACTATGTGACTTAATCAGCCATTAAGAGAATTGTTAAATGATTTAGAATGTTAGTTACATAAACACAAAATCCTGAGAAATGTACGACCATTGAATTTATATCATTTTACCTTCCTCCTGCAAAACATGACAAAGTGTTCATAGGGTTGTAAATTCAACTCACCTACTAGACATTGTCAATGTAAGTGAAAATGTGGTTGATGGTTCAAACTGTCCCACTTTCAGTTAATTACTTACCAACAATATCACAGCTGCATGCTAAGCAAGGCTCTGAGAGTGACTTCCTATAAAAGTTATCCTTGCACCTCTCACAGTTTGCACCTGCAGTATTTTGGGTACAATCTACACAGAACCCACCGTTGCCAGTCCTGTCATACAGATCTTGATTAAACACACACCTTGTTGAGAAGCCATTACAGTTACATACTGAAAAACACAAAAGACAAATATGTAAGCTAAAAAAAAAAAAAAAAAGTAAATATCAAAAATTTAGCAAATATGCAGTGTTTTAAAATGGATTCAGAAAAGGATTCAGAACAAGAATTGGAAACAATATGCAACCATATACTACTATGTGACTTAATCAGCCATTAAGAGAATTGTTAAATGATTTAGAATTTTAGTTACATAAATACAAAATCCTGAGAAATTTACGACCATTAAATTTACATCATTTTACCTTCCTCTTGCAAAACATGACAAAGTGTTCATAGGGTTGTAAATTCAACTCAACTACTAGACATTGTCAATGTAAGTGAAAATGTGGTTGATGGTTCAAACTGTCCCACTTTTGGAGGAATTGTCCTGCTTTTGTGACTTGTGTCCCACTGTTCCACCCAGCCCTATTATCTCGTTTTAAGACAAATATTTAAAAGATAAATATAATGACCCAATTTGAAAAAAAAAAGATAAAATTCACCCTGTACACCATACATATCTACGCTCAGGACAGTATACTAGAAACTCAAGCAATTAGGTGTAAGACAACCCATATTATTGATAAGACTCTGACAGTTGTAGTATCCAAGTCAGTGGAACATCCAGCCACCATCTACCCTCTCCCCACCCCCCAAAAAAATAAAATAAATAAAAACATGTTTTACCTGCAAATGTGTGATTTTGATTGTAATTTCATACAGCATGAGAACAAAAATTGGTGTGTTATTTACAAATTGCTGTCACCCACCACAAAACAAAAAAAATGCCTTTGAAACACTATTGATTAGGCTATGATTAAAAAATATTGAAGGAAATTGTAGAGAAAAAATACAGTGGAAATTTTCAAAACAAAAGAACGATGCAATAGAGATATGAAAAAAAACCCAAATCAAACAGACATTATTATTTAAGAACTATTAGCCCTAATAATATGAAATAACTAGCACAAGTTCTGAAATACAACTTTGAATTGATATTTTAAAGAAACTTTCTGTAATAAACTATTAATAAAATTGGATCAATTAGAGCAAGGGTGGGCATAAAAATGGGTAGGAGGGCTAAAGTGAATTTTTGATCTAACACAGGGGGTCACACCAAACTTTGATGTTCACAGTGTACATCCAAAAACCTTCATAAACTGCTTCTATGTCGTTTTAGGCTCAGTTTTAATGTTATATTTTACAGATAAGGTAAAAATTGTGACATTCAGGTAATTTCACAAGGTTCTATATAAACTACATTATAAAGAAGTGTCAACCATGACACATATTCAACATGGGTGATAACAGCAAACCACCAGTTCTCCAAGTACGAAAACTTCACAGAATTAAGATAATTAACTTACAGTTCCATCTCTCGTTGTGCCAGTAATAGTAACCATTGACAACAGAAACCATCAACATAATCAATATAATAAACTTCAACAGAAGCATCTGTAACATCTTCTCTGGGTCAGTATATTCACAAATATTCAGAAAGTTTCCACCTTAATTTCAAAAGGTTGTCAACATTTACTTAATGTAAATTCTTAACAAATTAATAATTCTGATCGTCAATAAATTGAAATCCAGAAAGGAAACTGCTTTGCTCACAAATTAAAATTCCACATCCAATTCGTCTAAAGCACTCTTCACAGTGTAACTGCAAATAACTGATGATGGATATTAAAAACTGAACATAAAGATGAATGATAAAACTATGCAGTAAAGTGTAGTTCTCACTGACTCGTTGTGCTAGCGGCAGCCAAACCTAAAATTACTTATGTTTTGTGAAACATAAGATTGAACTTCCTTGTAAACTTGATTTGATGAAAATCCATTCAATCACTTTATAATTTGCTGTCCCAAGAAATTTGAAGCTAGATTAAAAGAGTCCAACAACAAATAGTAATTGATCATCTATAGAAAGAGTTTCAGATGCAGTGGAAACAGCAGTTGAAACCTTGCAAAATTGCCATAACATTTTAAAGATACATCCTTTGAAAGTATACACTGAAAGACAGACCCAAACTTGTTACTGCTAAATGTTAAATCAAGATTCTAAATTCATGAATAATTCAGGGAGAAACAGTCAGTTTTTTAAACAGGTTGTGTATCCAGAGATTTCCTGAATGTGGTGTCAGCAGCTAATAGCCTCAGCCTGAACATGTTTCTGACCCTTTCAGTTCTCAACCTCATACTCTCTCGATAAATATACAAGTAGTTGTTAACATATTTGGATGAATGGTCATTAGAATGGTCACTCATTGCCCCATTCACTGTACAAAAGCAGTCAAATTGTCGCTAGCAACCACAACTTTCACAGAACAACTGACAGTAAATGATTATATCATTGTACTATACACGGAAAGATACCAAGAATTAAGGAGGCCTTTATATACAGTACATTAAAAAATACTCTTTTAAGGGAAAACCTTTGGGACCAATAATAATCCCAGGGGTATGACTGAATAGGGATTGGCCATATTAAAAGAAATAATTTCATTATCGCAGTTAAACAGCGTCTCCTTAAAGGATATCCCAAAGGAGAGGTTCTATTGTATGCAAAAGAACAACAGCAAAAAGCTATGGAGAAAAAAAAAAACATTTTTTTACTGAAGTTATAATTTAGCTTATTAAGAAGGATAAAAGCTATCAGACACAGTTTAAATCATTCAGTTTTACTACAAAAAATCTTGATGGATAATAAATAGTGGGACACATCTAATAGTTAAGTGAGACTCTTAGGGATAGAGAAGGGGGTCACCCAACAAAATTAACACATTGATTTTTTGTACCTTACTACCACAACTAAATATTAGGTCTATAGTATACATAATCTTATTAGTACAATTAATTATAAATGAGCAAGGTTACCCAATTCCCACCAATTTAATTGCTCTTAGTTAATATTCCTGAATTTTTTTAAAGCATCTGAAACATGAGGTAAGAGGCCTGGAATGTTTGAAAGCACTTAAAGGCAGGATAGTGTTTCAAGATAAAAGTTACCAAACCAATGATTTATCACTTATCACAAGTGAACCTCTGATAAGCCTAGGCATAAAACACCACAATCAAAGCCAGACTCATAGAGGGCAGCAAACAGATTATGGATCACTGCATTTACAATATCTGGATAAAGGAGGTAAAATGAAAAAAAAATTAATTAAATTAATTTTAACTGGCATGATGCACACATCTATAGTTTTAGGATGAAGCTATTATAATAGGACTCTACAGTATTTAAAGAAAATTGTGGCAGTTGACTTAATGCAGGAACAGAACAGTAGTGGTCAGATTCAATCAAATCATAACACCATAGGCCTAACTAATTATTTTGAACTTAGATTGACCTAAATTACTATTTCTTTCTTTTTGACCACTGCTCGCACTGCACAAAATTGGGGAGTACAACTGCTTTCAAAACCCACTTTATCACAGTTCTTTCTAAGTTGCCCAGCATGGAATATAAGGATTTATATTTTGGTTGTTAAGAAATGAGTGTGTCCAGCTGGTGTCAATTAACTAATGACAAATCTTTACAAGGCCTTTAAAGCATTTTCTCAGTTGGACCATGGTTTGGACGATAGTACCCAAGTAGACTAAGACTTGCATGGACTTCATAATTGTCTGCCTTCATGCTTTTGTCCACATATATTGACAACATATATCTTTGCCTGGTTTTATCATTAAATTAAACATAAATTCCTTTGCTTTCCTTGAAATTACAGCAATGGATTAAATGTGGTAAAACAAAGCAAAGAACATACTACGTCTCTTATACACATCTAGATGTGTATAAGAGACAGACCTCATACTCTCTCGATAAATATACAAGTAGTTGTTAACATATTTGGATGAATGGTCATTAGAATGGTCACTCATTGTCCCATTCACTGTACAAAAGCAGTCAAATTGTCGCTAGCAACCACAACTTTCACAGAACAACTGACAGTAAATGATTATATCATTGTACTATACACAGAAAGATACCAAGAATTAAGGAGGCCTTTATATACAGTACATTAAAAAATACTCTTTTAAGGGAAAACCTTTGGGACCAATAATAATCCCAGGGGTATGACTGAATAGGGATTGGCCATATTAAAAGAAATAATTTCATTATCGCAGTTAAACAGCGTCTCCTTAAAGGATATCCCAAAGGAGAGGTTCTATTGTATGCAAAAGAACAACAGCAAAAAGCTATGAAAAAAAAAAAAACCAAAAAAAAAAAAACATTTTTTACCAAAGTTATAATTTAGCTTATTAAGAAGGATAAAAGCTATCAGACACAGTTCAAATCATTCAGCTTTTACCGCAGCAATTTTACTACAAAAAATCTTGATGGATAATAAATAGTGGGACACATCTAATAGTTAAGTGAGACTCTTAGGGATAGAGAAGGGGGTCACCCAAACAAAATTAACACATTGATTTTTTGTACCTTACTACCACAACTAAATATTAGGTCTATAGTATACATAATCTTATTAGTCCAATTAATTATAAATGAGCAAGGTTACCCCATTCCCACCAATTTAATTGCTCTTAGTTAATATTCCTGAATTTTTTGAAAGCATCTGAAACATGAGGTAAGAGGCCTGGAATGTTTGAAAGCACTTAAAGGCAGGATAGTGTTTCAAGATAAAAGTTACCAAACCAATGATTTATCACTTATCACAAGTGAACCTCTGATAAGCCTAGGCATAAAACACCACAATCAAAGCCAGACTCATAGAGGGCAGCAAACAGATTATGGATCACTGCATTTACAATATCTGGATAAAGGAGGTGAAATGAAAAAAAAAGTAAATTAAATTAAATGTAACTGCATGATGCACACATCTATAGTTTTAGGATGAAGCTATTATAAATAGGACTCTACAGTATTTAAAGAAAATTGTGGCAGTTGACTTAATGCAGGAACAGAACAGTAGTGGTCAGATTCAATCAAATCATAACACCATAGGCCTAACTAATTATTTTGAACTTAGATTGACCTAAATTACTATTTCTTTCTTTTTGACCACTGCTCGCACTGCACAAAATTGGGGAGTACAACTGCTTTCAAAACCCACTTTATCACAGTTTTTTCTAAGTTCCCCAGCATGGAATATAAGGATTTATATTTTGGTTGTTAAGAAATGAGTGTGTCCAGCTGGTGTCAATTAACTAATGACAAATCTTTACAAGGCCTTTAAAGCATTTTCTCAGTTGGACCATGGTTTGGACGATAGTACCCAAGTAGACTAAGACTTGCATGGACTTCATAATTGTCTGCCTTCATGCTTTTGTCCACATATATTGACAACATATATCTTTGCCTGGTTTTATCATTAAATTAAACATAAATTCCTTTGCTTTCCTTGAAATTACAGCAATGGATTAAATGTGGTAAAACAAAGCAAAGAACATACTACAGTACAAAGGACATCTGCAAAGGATGCTATTGGGATAGGCCTATAATTTATAAAAGGAATGTTAATCCTGCATCTGCATCATTCCTATATCATCATGTTCTGAATGAATGGCATTGAGCACTCTGCTCATTGTCCTAATCACTAGTTAGCTCTGACCGTCATCTAGTTATTTAATTATCATGGCATCAGATTTTTCATTTTAATAATAACAAAAGCAATAAAATTATAATAATTAAATTGCGATAACATGTAGGTATATAATAAGGAATGACACTTTATGCCAATTCCCCTGTGCCTTGGATGTTGTTGCTAAGTCCAACAAAATGACAGAACAACCTTGCATACTAGTTAAAAAAGTTCGATTGAAACTGAGGATGTATGTCCTTTAGTAGGCAAACTATGACCGATACACAACCTGTAGTTCACAGAGGGTCTACAATCAGAAACACACTGTAGCTTTTCAATTACCATAGATAAAAACCATATTAAATTATTGTTAAATCAAGCACTGCACATATCCCAATATCAGTCTTTATAACATCCATGAAAAGGTAGAATTGTAATCACAAAATATTTTTGTGGTAATTATTATTATTTTTTTTTAATTGTTTTATTTAGGCACACAACACATGCACAAAGGATTGTCAATAGCGAATATTATCACTGCCTTACTTTGTAGGTGACAATCCCTTACACAAGACAAACATACACACATGATGTAGGTCTGTAATAATCATTACCATATTTGTATTTTTTTTCAATGTATTATTATCTCTATTATTTATCGCCTTAAGCTGTCTTGTAATTTGTGAAGGAATTTATAAGGGTTATGAGACAAATAAGGCTTTAAAATAAAAATCTTTAATAACTCAAACTATTAATAATTCCAGATCATTTTTGTTATTTACACCCCTACTTTTTAATTCTAAAAAGTATAAACCAAATATTGCATCTAAATTACATCATATAGAAATGTCACCATATTCCAATTGCTGAATTTTCTCACCATAACATGTCTGCAAGAGCAAAGAAACTGTAACTTGAGAAACAAGAATAGATACCAAAGACAAAATTACTTCCTACAAATTCAGATAACTACCTTGTTTTCTCATTACTTTATAGAAACATATTACCTGTAGCATGTAAATTATTGATATATCTGTCTACATAGGCCCTCAAATTGACTAATAATGAACATGGAGATGTTTGTGGTGAGATGCCTGGAAAGTTCAGACCCCTAAGGAGGAGTGTTTTGAGGTTTGGACGAAACCAGTTTTTTAACAGTTTTATCATAACTTTGTTTATTAAAGAAGTATTTCCAAGTTAAACTTGGCCTATAGGAAACCACCGTAACAGTCCACTTTCCACTGAAACGTACCTCCCACAAATTAAGTCATGCTACGGGCTTGTAACCATGAACATGGTTACTGTTGTAGCATTTAATTTGGTTAATAGACTGGGTGCAGTAGGAAATTAGCGGGAAAAAAGTAAAGGAAAATTTATTTTTGGTTGTGTCATGGCTGTCTCTTATACACATCTAGATGTGTATAAGAGACAGGTTCAGACCCCTAAGGAGGAGTGTTTTGAGGTTTGGACGAAACCAGTTTTTTAACAGTTTTATCATAACTTTGTTTATTAAAGAAGTATTTCCAAGTTAAACTTGGCCTATAGGAAACCACCGTAACAGTCCACTTTCCACTGAAATGTACCTCCCACAAATTAAGTCACGCTACGGGCTTGTAACCATGAACATGGTTACTGTTGTAGCATTTAATTTGGTTAAATGATTTTTTTTTTGGTGAGATATTTGGAGTTCCTTTAGAAATGAATGTGTTATTAAATTATCAAAATAAAATTAAAATTATTGCAATCATAAAATTAAATTAATAGTCATCTCAATGACCATTTATTTTCACGATTAAAGATGATTGATAGAATTATTTAAAAAAAACAATTGTTGGAGTTTTAAAGGAGATTTATAAATTGGTAAAGCTTTTAAGCTTGTATTTAATGAGTCAAATACACTTTATTCACCACTTGGCCTGTCATCAAGATCAACCACAGAATGATTAATAATTGGATTTAACAAGCATAATCACCTAGCTAATTAACATCAACCTATTATACTATCATCATTTTGTAGACAGTAGGAAGCTAGAGGAATAGTCTAGCCATGTTCCAATGCGAACATAAACAAACATAAACAGAATGGTTCTAAAAAGTATCAGTTAGAGATCAAAACTATGAGTCACTGGACCACAATCTGTGTAGGTGTAATGTTCCAGTCAACACCTTAAAAAAAGTTCCGGCAAAATGTCTCTTTTGATTTTATTTGTTTAAATCATTATTTATTTCAATCTGTATACCAAAGTAGAAATCAAAGATAAGGAGTCCAATAAAATTAAATTTTTTTTAAATACAAAATGGATATGTAATAAAATATTTTCTAGAAGTACAAGATTTTCTATGCTTGTCTATTTTTATAAATTTCCCACAAACTATACAAATCAACAATGTCTACGGTTACTCCTCATACAAAGATGAATTGATCGCGCTGCTCTTGGATACAATAAGTGACAGATGTCGGGATGCAGATCATTTGCCAAAAGCCTCTGTAAAGCCTCTTCTAAATTATATTCTTTGTTAACTTACAACCCTTTATTTAATTTTTTTATATACTCAATTAGAGTGTTAAATGATAGAACTTTACTGATTTTTCTTGAGGTGCATTACGATTCTCTTTTTTATAGTTAGATGGTCTTGTTATCCATTATTACTTCTTGTAATTTTAAACTCAATTCAGCATTTTTGCTGCTATGTTTTAAATGTTTTTCAATGTGTTTTTTGGAAATAAATTTCACACAATAATTTTTCTCTGTGTTTCACTAAATTAAAAAGTGATATACACCCATACTTTAGAATATCTTGTGTTTAGTAGCAGAGGATCAACAATTAGAAAAAAAATAACCATTTCAAATAGAACAGAATTAGAAAGTCAAACTGTTTTTTGAAATAAAAAATAGCTCCAGGGAACATTTTGGAACAGCTTGTTAATGTTAATAATACTGAAAACATTTTCCAAATAATGACTATTTTTGGATAAATTCACCTTTCTTTACATTTATTAGTTGTGTTGTTTAGACAAGCATCACATTATTTTATTGAAACAAATTGTATCAAGCACACAGAGCTCATCCACTCAATCCTACAGTATAAAGCAGCGATGAATTGGCTCTTTTTTAAGACTGCCATCGATATCAGACCGTAACGATAGTAGATATGATCTTATGGTTGGTAACTATGGTAGGTTACGCCTAAGGGTGATACAGTAGGTCCAACCACATACATGGTAGGTCTAACCTCATGTACGGTAAGTCTGACCTTAAGGTTGGTAGGTCTGACCTCAAAGATAGTAGGTTGGACTCTAATCCAGGTCTGATCTCACAGAGGGTAGTAGGATGGACCTCATGGAAAGTAAATCTGACCTTATGGTTGGGTAGTTACGGTGTCATGGGGATGGTAGTTCTCATCTCATGGATGCTAACTCTAAACCTTCAGTAGTTATGACCTCACCAATGGTTAAGTCTGACCTCATTGGACAGTAGATTTCTCTTACCATTTCTAATACCCGATTCACACGTACAAAAATCTTACCAAATGTAACAAAATGTAACCAAAAGTAACATTTTACGGCATTGTGTTGAAATCCCTGCGCATGCGCAGATGCATCTCGGAACGTCTCGGTAATCTTTACCAGCCTCGCTGAGGCTGGTAAAGCTTCCGAGATGTAACATGGATGGATCTGCGCATGCGCAGGGATTTCAACACAACAACAATCTACTGTTTCACGGGGTTCATTGAATTTTCTTCCTTCTGCATACGATTCTGAACCACTAGAAATAGATAGGCCTAGTTTTTCTCAATGATGTTAATTACCTGTAGTAATGGTAGAAGAAGAAGATATACATAAAATGAAATTCGAGATGGTGTTAGTACTATTACTAGTATTACAAGAGTCGACAGAAACATTGGAAGCTATGCCTAGTAGTAGTAGTACAGCAGTTGTTAAGGGCATTGATTGCTTCGAATGTTTACTGTGATGGTGAGTTCAACAGTCCATCTGTGACAGGGGTTCTCAACTAGGCCTAGGCTAGACCTATATCGCAGTAGAGACCTTGGCATTACCTTACAGACGCGTGTGAATGCTTTTTATCTCGGTAGGAATAACTCGGGAGATCGCTCGGTTACAATTTGTTACTTTTTGTTAAATTTAACTTCACGTGTGAATCGGGTATTAGACAGAATGAAGCACAACTACAACTATGGACTTACTTTCACACTCATGAGCGTCAGCTGCAGATGCCGGTGCCCAAGGCTTGTTGTTGTAAAAGGGCTTGCATTCTTGACAATCTGCACCAGCAGTGTTGTGACGACATACGCACACCATACGTTGGTCACCATTCTCAGCAGTGCTCATTTTACATTGGTTTGCATGACCATTGCACTTACATCTACCGGGACAAGAAAATAAGTTACAAAATAAATTATTGAATGCAATGTGCATACTACAATCATACATTCGATTGGAAGGCTCTCGAATTAACATGCAATCTCCCGGTCACTTGAATTTTTCCCACTACAAATCTCACAATGTTGCGATGCGTATGCTGCAATGAATGTGCATTTATGCACACCATACTGAATACGCTACCACTCACACTAATCACAGTTCTCTCATCATAACACAGGTAGACAACAATGTGCAAACTACTATGTATGTACTCCTAATAAATGTAAATAAAGTTACATGCATTGTTTTGAGTCAACATTCCAAACAAAAAAATATATCTGTCCAATTATCATTAATAACTTTGGCCTAAACTTGAATATTTTATTTTGAATATGAAACTCATCTGAACACAATAGGCAGATGTATGAAGATTACACTTTTGAAAGAAGCGTATTGCTCAACATCAATGAGAGATTTATATTATGGCATACTAGGAATTCTGACATACAATAGCATGTTCATACTAGAAACACAAGATAGATCTCTCCACAGATAGGAACTGGATTTACCAAATTGCATTGTGTGTATTACTGTACTAACGCAAGTTTGTTTATCACCAGGGATACGCAGCGCCCCATTTAATGAGGCACCGTGTACAGCTTGAGATGAACTTGCGTAAATTGTCATACTGGAAAGAGATTGAACTGTGTATGTCTAGAAATGCATATAAGATATGTGGCAAAGACAAGCCAAACCAGTCACTCGTCGCAAAAAATCAATTTCTGGTTATTAATACAGGGTTCAACAGTAAAATGAGAGCTATAAAATGGTAAAAAATCATTTAAATCTGACATTTCCTTATAAAGTTACAAGCTTTTAAACATACAGCTGTTTGATGAACAATATTTGAGAAATCAGCCTTCAAAGTTTATGATTTCAGGCATTTCTCAGGCAGAAACCATCACCAAATCGTTAAAAATTATTGTTTGAAAATGGGCAAAATACCAGCAAAGCATGATGTAGAGGAATATAAAGGTTAGTTTATAAAGTGCAATAAAATAGATTTCAACAATTTTGACATTCCAGCATATTTTGGCCATTATCTCTGAAACACAATTTGCAAAAAGTGACTGGTTTGGCTTGTATTTGTCACATATGCAGTATATCTGCATCACTTTTGTTATGCGGGAGTTCTATTTTGTGTTTATATTATCTTTGATGGTGAGGGATGGAGGGTTATGTGAGGGATATGTTAGCTGGGAAAATACTGCAAGATGAAAGGACAGGCTTTTCAAGTTTCTTGTGAAAAACAACCTTGAGGGAAAGCTTTTGTGGGGGAAGGGCTAGCAGCACCACAGATTTCACCCATAGAAATGCCACACCTTATCAAACTGAATGAGTACCAACCTAGCACCAACAGAGAAATCCGAGATAGCATAATAGTAAGAGCGTAGGACATTAGGGGCATTAAACACTTCATCTCCAAAGGTGTTGAGGCGGTTTAGAGTAATCCTGATGTCAGTTGCTGTAACCCATTCCTGTAAAATCAAATTATTTTATATAAGACACAAGGCTGGATAAAACATTTTGGGGGTTCGCAGTGATAAAAATTATAAGTTATTTAGTTATTTTTTAGTATGTATTTCAATTATGTTTTATTACTTTTATATAGGAGCATCTATTAGGTGAAAATTGGCATCAGTCCAATGAACAGCTTTGTAAGGCTCCTTAGCTGAAAGCTGCTTTAGATTGGCTACCAATTATGTATAAATCAACCTCAAATCTTTGGGGTTTAAGAAAAACTAGATATAGCTTTTGTTAAATTTTACGACATATTGTTTAAAGTTGATTAATAGTTGAAAAATTATTTTTTATTTTATCTTTATTTTATTAAAATTCTGGTAAATACATAATTATATAAAAACATTACAAAACAAAATATATCAGCAATTGTTCAAACATATAAAAAAAAACATTGAGTCAGCAAAAGCGAAACCACTGTCATCTTAGAGATTTGCTGCTCCCTTTTTCAAAACGTATTTACAGTACTGATCACCGAACGTTCGACATAGGCACGCGTGGGCCACGAGAGTAATTTGCGAGTGACACGCGTGTAATGAGCTAATGAATAACTAATGACAAAGTGACCTATTTGACATTTGTTTATCCAAGCATTACGGCATTGAGTAAAATGCAAGCTCGGCGAACCAACTACCTTCCTGCATATTTCGCGATGTCAACGATGTTGTTTATTACCAGACAAAAGACAGTGCGCATCGTTAGCAAGCATGCACGCGACAATACATTGGTGAATAAACTGTCCTTACAACGTTAGCTTAGATGAATTCCAGCTTAGGTTGATTAAGCTACGTAGATGGGATGATCATTTTATTCGAATTTACGAATGTTATTTATAGAAATTATATACAAAATAACTGAAAAATTACTTCTATTTTGAGTAGAAGATGTTTAACCTACGTATCCTACCACATCTAAAACACTCTTGATTATTATTGTTATTAATAGCCGAAATAGTATTCAGAATATATCGAAATGCGTTAACAAAATGTGATTGATGTAATTTATTAGATTAAAAAGGAATAACATAACGTTGTCTTTGGATCTGAAATATGCTTGTTGTCACTATTTTTTATCTGTAGTTATTAATAGTTGAAATGACAAGTGTTATTTACTATGATTTTTTTTGTTTGTTTTTCAGGTCATCGAGTACTACAATATTAAGATGTTATGAAAGCATACTAGAAATTAATACAAATGTTAATGTATTTTTATACGTTGTTCGTAATCAAAATCTATCAAATTTTGCATTAAGCTAAAGCTTAATCATATTTACTTTTCATTAAACAACTATTATTCATTGAATTTCCGTGGATTTTTTTTTACATACAGACATTCAGTGGATTTTTTTTTTACATACAGACATTCAGTGGGAATTCCCAAAAACGTAAACAAGGGAGTTGCTGCTAAACCATTGTCTACCCGGTGAAAATCTCACTGTCAACACACGTATTAATGATAGTCAAAACATAGTTATACCCATTGGAAAATGAGCAGTTCTAATTGTCCCGCAGTACTTGCATGCACGTGGTCTTTTATCTGTCTCCGATAGCAGAATCAGCAGCTGTCTACATTCCTGAATTGGCGGCGTACAAAGAATCAGACTATGTGACTGACCTTATGTCTGCTTCTCCTAATTACAATGTATCGTGAGAACGTACTTGCAGGAACGTTTCTTAAAGAATTCACAGTTACTAGGCAACTTGCAGTACTGGTAACTTGGTGCCTATTTCAAACAGTTTATTTCCGTTCATGACAAATTAAAAGAATCAATACAAACGGAAGTGGATTAATGTTATATGTAAAAAATAAAACATTGAAGATTAATCAGGGAACACTGTTCCCCGGTTTAATTCATGTTTCGATGGTCTTTTCATTTGTTATACTTATATCAGTCTGACTTGTAATATTATAACAAAGAAAACAATTTCCATGACTTTGTAATGTTTTTTTAAGACGACAAAATTCATTCTGATTCTGTACAACTATCACTATCATTCAAGCGAAATCTCCCTACTGTGTAATATTTATTAGAATCAAAATTAATTTGATTCCACTTCATTCACCGTCAATAGGCCTATCTAATAAGGTTACTGTATCATTTAAACAAAAATTGCTGAAAACATAAAGCATAATTATTGCTCAAATATTTATTCATTATTAAAAAAATACAAATTGCTTCATAGGCATATTTTGAATCTTAATCCCGACGTCATGAGCACTGTAGAATGTTTCTGTAGAGAGAGAGAAATAATTAAATACTCATTATTGGAATCATTGCAGCAGCAACGCATTACATTCCTGAATTGGCGGCGTACAAAGAATCAGACTATGTGACTGACCTTAAGTTTGTCATTTTTATTGTTTAATACTTCAATCATTTTGATTGTACTTCATTCAGATAATAGGCCTATCTAATTGTACTTCATTCAGATAATAGGCCTATCTAATACAGTTTACTTATTATTTAAACAAAAAATGCCGAAACATTAAATAAAAAATACATTTATTCATTATCAAAAAATGCAAATTGCTTCATGGGAATATTTTGAATCATAATCCCCGACGTCATAAGCACTGTAGAATGTTTCTGTAAAGAAAAAAATACAAAACAATTCAGTACATTATTTAAGGAAATTATATTTGAGACGTATTTAAAATATCACGTCTGAAACACACACACACACAACGATTATTCATATTACTGTACTTAAATAATGACGAGTCGGTCGTTTTAATTGACTTTACGAATGTTATTAATTATATTATCTCTTAATACTATAAAAATTAATTCTATTTAGACATAGACCTATTAAATATCCCAAACC